TATTTTTAAAAAGCCATCTGGATTTTTTTTTTTTTTTTATAGACTTGGAGATTTACCCTATTTGTCCGGGTCACTTATCACTGAATGCAAAAGAAAATCCCAAATTTTGGGCCGTCAATAGAAAAGAAATAGATGGGAAATCTTCCAATGGGCACATTAGTTCTGTCGTCCCTGCTGACCACCAGGGCTCTCTCCTCTCTAGCCTGTTGTGGCTATAGAACAGGAAGTGAAGGGAAATCTCCCAATATCCCAACTGGACACAGATAGCAGAATGGGCTTTAGTTCTACTTATTATGATGAATCAGTTTGTAGGTGCATAGGCCTTAGTACGGAATAGGTGATGCATTTAGTCTCAACTCAAAACAAAGGACTGTCTGATAATTGTACCTATTAGAATAAGGACATCACATATACTGCACAACGGCCTAGCCTACATAACCATAAAAAGCAGAAAATAAAAATAAGACTACATCCTGTCACTTTCATCTAAGGCTATATGGATTTGTCAATCCGAAATCCGTAAATACTTAGTTATCAAACTGCTTGAAGAAAAAAAAGTTGAGGTAAGTAGCTGAAGAACAGTCAAGTGCATGATTTTTTTGTTTTTTTGTTGAGCCAGCCTCAAAAGTGAGGCACCCCTGTATAATAGCGAATCTAAGTTCTGAACGTCAACTGCAGCTTGGTCCATGAAATGCTCCCACCCTGCTGGCTGGACAATGAAGGAGCAGCATTCATCAGCCATCATCCTGAACTCTTTTGCATGCCATACACATGACGACAAACACTCATGAAAAACTCATGAACTTACTAGAACTGCATTTAAATGGGAAGTATTAGTATATTTTCCCTATGCACATTGTTTTTGCAGTAGAAGTAGAGGCTAAATTAACCCCACATGTACTGTGTTGCCTCCCCACAGCTCATATACATTGTAAGACGACGTCAGCGGGTGAGGTCCTGGAGGTCATCTTTAAAAGAAGTCAATGTAATGAAAAATTCTATGCTTCCAAGTTCACCTTATTAAAAACTGACAACCTGTGCAAGTGGAGTTAAAATGATAAAACTACTCTTGAAACAGGGGGTCACACGTGTTCCTGAAAGTTCCCTTCTGCAAAGTGTCTGAAAAACCTGAAAGTCAAGAAACAAAAAGGTTGTGTATTGCAGCATGAAGAATGCAGTTTATCAGGTAAAGGAAGCAACCTTATATTTCCAATGATTTCATCAACTTGGCTAATATGCTACAGCAAAGTGAAAATTCATACAGGACAGGAAGTGATCAGGCTTAAAAAAATGTTATAGCCACACCTGTAATGGTAGGTGATCAACCCAACTAATATAAAAGCACAGCTACC